AATGGGCTGCTTCAGGTAAGAACTTCCTTCTACCTTTATACTTTGTTTTCCGCGACCGTGCATGCCGCATTTGCAGACTTGACAGTACACGACGACGCAACTTCAAAAAATCGATATATCACTCAAATCGATATACTTGTTTGTTAATACTTTTGATGCTATGTCACATATGCTGCTTGGTCTGCAATTGCGACATGTCTAGCTGCAGAAAATGAATGGTTTATGTTCAAGTGATATTGAACGTCCCATATTCAGGTACCAAATCCACAACTTCTCGCACCACCTACCGACCACCTACCTCGAGCTCCATTGTTGAGGCAGAGTACGGTGGATGTTGCCTGGTGGGCTTGGTGCAGGACCTGTGAAAGGTGCTACGTTGTGGCGGCGAAGTCGTTCAGAATCGGACGTAAGCCGTAACCTCACCACGGGACCATTTGTCTGCGCCACTTGTGGACAGGTGAGATATGTGCACTGAAAAAGAAAAGCCCTGATGTAAAAGGAGGAAGAGGAAAGGATCACAGATCGTCTCATCAGGGCTCCAACAGTCATTAGGTCGAATCTCCTCTCAAAGGACCCGCGTATCGCACCAAATCAAGCCTCTACACAGTAGCCACTTTAGGTACGGGGTGACTCCGATAGGGTACACCAGTATTGGTACCTGCGATGATGTAACTCTATTTCGGAAAACGAGAAGAGCGTCGAGTGCAGACCACACACCACAAGTGACGACGGCCAAGAAAAAAGTGGCTTTTTCTTTTCTTTTTTCTTGGCCGTCGTCACTTGTGGTGTGTGGTCTGCACTCGACGCTCTTCTCTTTTTAACCCTTTCCGGACCGCCTGACACACATGGTGTGTCAGGAACTTCAAGAGCTGATTTTTCCAAGAGTTTGGTTTTTCGATAAAATATTTTATGTTGTTACATACCTATGTAACAGACTCATGCCATATGTATGAAAAAAACCTAGACTTTAGGTTTAATCTAGGTTCTAAAATAACCAAAGAGTAAATGGACTTCCACTTTGGGCTCAAAGAAAACAGTTGTAGTTCGCTTGAAAACACTTAAAAACGAAGAATTTGTGAAATATCCTGCTCGTCGTATCTGATTCTTATGGATCCAATCGTTTTGGGCACGTTCTACTCCCTTTTTCTCCATACCAACTTATTTTGAACAATTTTCGTCCCTTCCTCCCTTTTTATGGCCCTTTCCCTTTTTTTGCAAAACAGTTTTCTGTCAAATTAATCTTATATATTCTTCGAGACATGACAAAGACATAAACGAGACAAAATAATGGCTTTAGTGGGAATACAGATTAAATATATGATATTTATGCTTGCCGCGCAGCATGCGGCCGTGAGCGCAAAAAGTGCGCGGTCCGGAAAGGGTTAAAACTGTAATATTGGTGTTATCACTGGATCTCATTTGAATTTGAGGTGAACCTTGAACTGCGCTACCAGGAAGGTCTTTCAGGGCGTGACAAGCTTTTTGAAAACGGTCTTTTGCATGATATAGGGGCAGATGCGGGAACCACAGAACCATGTTCAATTTTTCCTGAACGGCCCTCTGAATACCAGAAAAGGAGGTCCCTAGTTCGATTCCTCGTGGTAACAAATTTTTGCATTTCGAGTTGACGTGCCAAAATTCGCGCAAAATGGAGTTAGAACCAACCAGAACAATCAGAACTCCATTTTGCGCGAATTTTGGAACGTCAACTCGAAAATGCAAAAATTTGTCACCAAGAGGAATCGAACTAGGGACCCCCTTTTCTGGTATTCAGAGGGCCGTTCAGGAAAAATTAAACATGGTTCTGTGGTTTCCCCGCATCTGCCCCTATATCATGCAAAAGACCGTTTTCAAAAAGCTCGTCACGCCCCTGAAGAGATGTCCCTAGTTAGTACCTACGCAAACGATTGGAGACACTGAGTGCCAAACTGAAAAGCCGTATATAGAGCCCGTTTTTCCGCTTTTTTCTGGAATGCTAAACTAAATAGCCTTCACACAAAACCACCGCCCACTTCTCGCCGTCATCATTAACTGTCGCTGAAGCAGTGCGTAGGTTGCTGGAAATCAGACTCATGCTATCCTTCTTTGCTTTAACCATGACATATGTACACAATCCAGCTATCTTCCCATCTTTAGAAACGAGGGTGGTATTTCAAAACCATACACTCATTACGATTTAGTTTCCAGAGTCAACAATTCGACCCTTACGTGAATTTTGAAAGAGACGGAGGGATAACGGTGGTTACACCAAGGTCACAGTTCGGCGGTTCTAAAGCGGGGTGGTATGGTTTTTCAAAAGTTAGTTAATACCCCCACCGCCGCCGAATTTTGGGCGGACTGGAAGTCTTCTCGTGTCTGTAAAATTGGTGAAAATCAGCGCGAACCATTGGCCTGACTAAGGTTGAGCTAACCCCACCTTCCAATGCAGGCTGCGTTAAGTTCCGCATAGCTCTCAATACCATTGTCCGCTGAATGCGACCTACTGGAAGGGTAGAGCTTTGAACACAATTACAGAAGGGAGTTAGTACTCTTACGGACCCTTGATTAGAACGGGAAGAACCGGATGTTGGTAGGAAACCACAAAAGCTCCCGTACGCTCTAATGGACCTATGTCACAACATTCTATGGTCTCGCCTTTTCCCAACAGAAATCCTCGTACCTTCAGCTTACCCATCTTATTCTAGGGTCTTATTCTAGAATTTTTTAACCTTTAACAGAACCCATCGCCATTCACTGAGTAATTTTCAGGCGTTTGCCCTACACGATCGTTTGGCGAAGCACATTGCATCACGGCATCGAGACCGGTTGGTTATTTACGTGTTTTCCTGTTTCACAAACAAAAACAATGAACTCGAAAGGAATGAAGCTTTTTCGCCGTACAATCGCCATCAGATTCAGATTTTGCTGTTCAGTGAGAGTGTATTTGACCTATTGGGTCCACCTACGACTCCCTCCCTCTCGTTCTCCTTCTCCATTCGTCGGGCAGTCGATCCTATTTGGAAGAGGCTCGACCGTGTTTCGAACTAAGCGGCGATTTCCGCGTAGTATCGCTTCCCAATATCATTTTTCAAGGAACATATGCCTCGCCCAAAATACCACCACAAGTGATGTCAATTTTTTTCTGATAAGATTTTCGTAAGTGTCCCGCTTTTGGTCCCAATTCATAAGGGCGGTTGCTTCTGGGGTATCATCTGGGGCTTCTGGGGTATGTTTGTCGCAAAATTCAGCGCAAACGCTCCGTTTTCATGAGCCGTGTACATGTACCCTCGACGAAAAATCGGGCCAATTCGATTTGTCTACGTTCATACGCAACCCATGATGGTGGGTGAAGAACTCGTCTTATCATAAATTCCGGCGCTCTTCCAATAAGAAGGGTGCATTCTGCTGCAGAACACCCGAGGCATTCAAAACCAAGACAAGCTATCAGTAAAGTTGGAAGGAAGTGAAGAAACAATCGTAAGTCAACAAATGAGTATTTTTGCTTGAAGAAGGATTTCACGGTAAGGTTGGAGCTCGATGAAGTGGAATCCTGCCATGCTAGGCGGCAAGAAATTTGCAGCGAAGGATTTGCCCTTACCGATCGAGCATGGCCGTTCCCGCGTCGCCATCGCCGCTGCCCGCCCACCTCCGCTGACTGGTTCTAGCCGTCTGGCAGGGAGAGCGTCAGCAGTGACGATGTCGGCACCGATGAAATCAACGAGTAAAGGGGGTCCCATTTCTCAGTTTCCAGGTTGTTTCTTCTTCTTTCTTTCTTCATCCCTCATCACTGACCATCTTCATCTCTGATGGGTTGCCTTTAGCGTGAATCCGTCTTTGATTCTTGATCGAAGGGTGCTTCGAAATCGTGGCCCATCCCTGCCCCGCCATCCTCTCCTCTTCTTGCCCTTCTCCCTGTCCACAAAGTTTACTGGAGAAACTCCTTTATTTTGTGCTGCATGTATCCGCCCCATAAAACTTCTACGTAGGATTTAAGGATCATTGGAATGAATAAATTGTAAGACTGCGCAAAGACTGCTCGTCTTCTGCCTTGCGGTATTGAATTTACCCTCCCAGACAGTTTAGTTACCACTTTTCCAACCCTGGGAAATGGAGCGGCCGGATTCTTGAGACCAGACTGGACTCAGTCGTTTGAACCGTGTAATTGCGAGCCATTGCGCCACTTCCGCCTCACTGCTTGGCATCAATTTGGTTGCTAGAACCAACAATTTGAAAGGAGAAACTGAATTGCAGTTCGTGATTGGTTAATGGCTCTCCTACAGCTTCATGATAGATCTAATTTCATGCGACTCTCTGGTGGACAATGCGCTGAAATCAATTGTCTAATTGCATGTCTGCTAAAATGGCCTCTTATACCTGAAGAAGAAAATATGAAAGGAGATTATCACTCGAATTGATTGTGAACATACATGAAACTTTTCTTGTACGCCGTGTCGACAACGCTCCCTGACATTGTCGGCAGATCAACAACCGCGTAGTCGTTGGACACTCATCATCTTCAAACGATAGACGGTTAAAGCATAAGCTGTAACTCCACCTTCACTCGCCTTCTATCGGGAGTCGCCTCAAGGCTGAAGGTTGTCGGCATGCTCTTACTAACAGGTAGTATTCCGCAAAGCAGTATTTTCTTACTACGAAGGTGGATTCTTTTACGAGGGCCTCGTTTGTTGAAACATCAGCCTTGACTGGCGGCTTGTGAAATAATGAGAGTGATAAAGGGCTTTCTAACAGGCGAAGGTGTTTAGAGTTGCACAAATTTTTCAAAAACTGGTCTGTTTTTGCATCGATGATAGAGGGCACATGCGGGAACCACAGAACCATGGTTAATTTTTCCTGAACGGCCCTCTGAATACCAGAAAAGGGGGTCCCTAGTCACACCTTTTTCACCAGTTTTTCAATCAAAGTCTATTTGTAAGGGTTACTGACGTCCTAATCATGAATATGGTACTAATTATTCATGCTAACTCCATTTTGCGCGAATTTTGAAACGTCAACTCGAAATGCAAAAACTTTCACCACGAGGAATCGAACTAGAGGCCCACTTTTTCTGGTATTCAGAGTGGGTATGTCAGCAGCAGAAAATGAAACAGTGGTTCTGTGGTCTTGCACTTATTAGGTACCTCAATGTCAGGCAAGAAACCATTTTGAAAAAGCGTGAGCGACACTGAAAACGACTCCCTTGTTAAGACGCATGAAAGAGCGAGTGGGTGTGCGTGTCAAGAAAAAGATGAAAGCGTAATTCAAGCGATAGACGCGGCTCCGATTCCTCCACAATTACATTTTATTTTACCCCCTACGCTCCTCGGCAGAGCGCCTTCGGACTCTGGTCATATGGGCAGCGTATCGATTTCTATAAGGCCGAGTGTTTGAATATTACAGCTGCTTCGGCACACTTTTCGCCGCGCTAACTCGCTAACGCAGCCACAATGTAACTGGCTCTTTTCTGGAGAGTCAGCGTTGTAATGGGGGTGTATCAGAGTCTCCGGATGGGCAGCCCAAACCGAACTAAGGCCTAGGCGCTAGGCTTATCCCATTCGCCCTCTCAGGTCGGTGACAGGCCCGACATGCAAATAGAACTGAAAATATAGTAAAAAGGCCAATAGCTAATACAAGGGAGGTCGTAGTACCCTCCGAAAGAGAGGGGGTCGTAAAAATTTAGAAATCGCAACACATGGTTGACCTTGATTGCGGGTCGTGCGAAACTCCTGCGCAGTTAGTCGCGCATTTTCAAAGGGAGTATGTAGAACAGGCGGACATTCAACGCGTTTCTGTGTCTGTCGAGTCGGGGAAGAACAAGGGATGAAGTTACGCGGTCCAAACCGTGGCCTTTAAAGGGAACGAGTACTTTGCTGGAAAATGTAAACGATGTATGGCGTTCATGACGGGAAACTTGCGCTGTTTGTTGAGCACTCGAGAAGCGCTCCTGCCCTAAAAGCGTTCCAAACCCTGTTTATTGGTGATTTGGCCAAGCTCTGTTGCCAGCAGCGGCACAACTTGAGCAACTGAGCTGAGCCTGACGAGCAACCGGAGCGCAGTTTTGCATGCTGACACAAAGCGCGTGCGGTTAAGCTCCCATGCAAAGTCGCTGTCTCAGCCGTTGCATCCATGAGCGAGTGTCGTCAACGGCACCCAACAAGGGAGTCGTTTTGTGTTTTCTTTCTCTGCTTTTTGTTCAGCAACGAGGCGTGCACAGGGGAGCGCATCCCTAGTTCCCCTCAAACCTCTTCAGAAACCGGTGGCATGTATCCCTAACTTGCCGCTAAATCAACGGTACCTGGGGCATGGGTTGCCCTTTTCATCATGCGGCTAGTTTTTACTTAAATTGGTTCGGCTTGCTATGCTACGTCCCAGGATTGCTGACTGGGTAGCAACTGGAAGTCCATTCCAGAAAAATTCAATGACATCATAGAAAAGTTCATGATTAAATCCCTTCTTTTTGCAGGTCGGCATCAGCTCTTGCCGATGCGGATGGTTCGAAATCCCATAAGTGTACTGTGTGCAACAAAAGTTTCGGAAGAAGTGACATGCTTACGAGGCATATGCGTCTCCATACTGGATTGAAGCCGTACAGCTGTCAGCTATGCGGGGGAAGTTTTCAAGGAGTCGGATCATCTCAGCACGCATCAGCGAACGCACACCGGAGAAAAACCCTATCAGTGTCCTTTATGCCAATATGCGGCGGTAAGCTACTTGATATCACCTTGACCTCTTTGTTTTATACTTATAATCAACAAAAACGCAAACCACTTCATGTATGGCCCTTAAAGGCGAGTGATCACGGCGGCTGGAGGCAGAAACCAGTGGTCGGTCTGATGGCGTCATTGAACGTTCATGGATGGGTGGACCACCTTGTCTGTCGGGAACGGTCTCTCGAAGTCCATCACAACCCGGAGTTCAATGCCATTCATCAAACCGGCACCCTTCCCCAGCGTGGAATCACTGATCTTTTAAATAACAAGGTTTCGTAACTTGTTGGCCTATGCTTCCAAAAAATATATGCTATCTTGGGCCCGCAATCAGGGTCAACGTCCGTTTGGACAAAGTTTCCAAGGCTGCACGAAGATGAAGTAATGCGGAGAATGGGAAACGTACGCACGGAGATCACAGAATCGGTTATAGCGGCCGGTCGCGAAGGGTGAATGCCGGCGCGAGGAGCGGTAAACATCGGTCCAACGTCGCTCCAATATCGGTCCAACGGGAAGGTTGACCTTGCCCACAACTTGCAAAGGTAGTGGACTTCATAACTACAAACAAGTGCCAAAGACCCCAAGGACCTGCGTCTTGTGTCTATGAACACCGCTTTTTTCGCCACGCAAGTTTAATGCGTGGCGCATATAAAAAACTAAATGAAGGAAAGAGGTAACGCATCGGGGAAGTAGTATATGCGATCCATGAAGCAGTAGCTTGGCTGAGAAGGAAGCGAGATATAGCGCTTTCACGACGAAAGGTGCACTGACTGCAGGGCAGCACGTGAAAATCGCCACGCCCCTAGGTGCTGCGCAAATTAGTTTGCTTCGTGATTTGGACGAGCTTTGCTGCCAGACAGGGCGGGAAGAAAACTGGAGCAACTCGGGGAATCAAGTTTTTCACGAACGTGTGCGCCGACAAACTCGTCATACGCTGCCATTACACTACTGCAAGAGTTTAAATCAATGTGGCCAACAATAGTGTCCGCTTTTGGTTTTCTTGGCTAACCCTTGATTCTGTTCGCACGGGCGCGACATTGAGCACCTCACATCCCCTAGACACATCTAAAGCTATTCTTGAATGCTGCCTCCAGAATCCAAAGAAAACTTGACTTTTTACTCATCTTCGTTAGTAGAAGTCCCAGTCATGGGTCACTCTTACATGAGCATCTGGAAACAAATCTTGAATCGGATCAGGCAGCAATTCCCGGTGCGTCTGTAGAATGCGTCTTGGGAGAATAAAACACTCCTGTTGTGTTGATGACTCTCGAATTTATGGTAAAGGGAAATCGCATTCAATGTCACGACGATTGAGCAGGTAGTAGAACTATTGCACAGTTGGGACAAACCAATGCGGAAGGATAGGACAACCAGAATGCTGTAGTTTTTTATTCCTTAACCCTGCTGATGCAACGAAGACAGCTTCAATTGGTGCAGATGTACGAAGAAACCACAAGGTACTGTGATTCAGCGTCACCCGTCCGCCCCCCCCCTACGACAATCAGAGCTGCGAGGGGAGAAGGAGGTCAAAACGTAGTTGGTTTTGGGAATGGTGGAAGATCAGTATTCAAGGGGGTGCAAGCTCGGGCGTCGTCGTCTGCATTAATTCGAGCAGGAGGGCACGTATTTAGCTGTATGCTGACGGGGGTTCTAGGGCAGGCGAAATAAACCGTTTTTTTTTTTTTTGTGGAGATCAAAGGTTTCTCACTGTTCCCAAAAGACACTGAAGGAGCGATAGTTAGGTAGGTCTTAGTCCTTTCAGAATCTTCCTTATCTGATTGCATGAAACAATCTATAGAAAGTTGTGACCGAGGAGCGAGTGGGAAAATTAGAAGCCATTCGCGAATTACCCACGAAAACTCATGGGTGGCGAGGATGATATGTGGGGGGGACTCTGGTCTTCGGGTGTTTCCTCAAGTGTGTGGATACGGTTTGTAGATCGAGCCTCTTCACGAGCTCATCACTTATCTTCTTATTCTCTTACAGAGCCTGGCCTATTAACTTCTCCGCAGACGACTGAAAACAGAGAGTTTCATTTCCGATATTTTCAGCTTTTACTTTGATTTTTTCAGTTTACTTGCGGTCCAGTCTACTGCATGGATCCACCTTACAAATATTTGAGTTGGGAATCACATATGAATTTATTTATTGACCTCAGCCGGTTAAAGGCTAGGGTTCGGATTAGGCCCACCTAGTGAGCCTTTAAGTGGCCTAGAAGCGCATTGATCGAGAACTCAGTGTAGGCGATTCGACGGAATCCCGCATCGAAGTGGGTCAGCTCTAACGAGGGGAGGTCGTTCAGGGCGTGGAGCGCTTTTTGAAAACGGTTTTTTGCATGAAATAGGGGCAGGTGCAGTGAACACAGATCTATGGTCCATTTCCGCTAAATGGCCTTCTGAATGCCAAAAAAGGAGTGAAAATCATTTTGTTGGAAACTGCAGTTTTTACTTGTTAAACGTGGTGTGTTTCATTCATGGCGTCAACTATAGGCATAGTAAAAGGTCGTAGTGAACTGTGCATCGAAAATAACGTGAGGTTTAGCCAAAAATGGATCCTTGTCATGCTACATGCTACGGAGTGTGCGGGAGATTCATAACAGCTATCTGCAGCTTGGATGTCGGCAGCGACGGATGGCTTAGCGGATAGTGCTGTGGACTGGAGTTGGCACGAGTGGACTGGGTTGGTGGTTCGGATCCTCCGCGCGCGAAATTTTTTGCATTTTATGCTGGCACCTCCATCTTGGCTCCAAACTGCACCAGTGCCAAAATGAGTGTCTGACTGGTCATTGTCGTGACCAGGAGCAGCAATGACCCCGTGCGCTAGGTTTTCACTGAAAACTGGCTAGAAAATTGTATCTCTAGAATGAGAATAAATGACACCAGCAACTATTCGTATTTGTGATCAGCGTGGACAACCCTCGCAGAGCAGACCACGGGATCATTTAGGATTTGCTCGATGTGTAAAATTTTCCATTTATTGCAAACAGATTATTAACACGTGTGGTACAACTCTATAAAGCAAGTGAAACATAGCTGTTTGCCGCACCAGCTGCACTTGACGAATGCCAAGGAAGAGCAGCTACCGGAAGCTCCGGGATGGTCGTCGACGGAAATACTCACGCTCGTACATGCTTGTGCGAGTGATGATGTACCGCAACCTACAGTCACATCTGAATCGCAAGTGATTAGGTTGAATTCTGTAAACTTCCTTTTTTCACCCAGGAATGGTTGAAGAATCAAGAGTGCTTAATTTTAAACGCCTCTCCGCTCTTCTTCGAGAAAGAGTACTGGAAGCCGCCGAACAAGGTTTCACTTTGAATCCCCGAGCTAGGAAGTAATGTAAACATTGATAAAGTGCGCCAAACGACATGTTTTATAGTCTCCTGGTCACGACAATGACCAGTCAGACACTCATTTTGGCACTGGTGCAGTTTGGAGCCAAGATGGAGGTGCCAGCATAAAATGCAAAAAATTTCGCGCGCGGAGGATCCGAACCACCAACCCAGTCCACTCGTGCCAACTCCAGTCCACAGCACTATCCGCTAAGCCATCCGTCGCTGCCGACATCCAAGCTGCAGATAGCTGTTATGAATCTTCCCGCACACTCCGTAGCATGTAGCATGACAAGGATCCATTTTTGGCTAAACCTCACGTTATTTTCGATGCACAGTTCACTACGACCTTTTACTATGCCTATAGTTGACGCCATGAATGAAACACACCACGTTTAACAAGTAAAAACTGCAGTTTCCAACAAAATGATTTTCACTCCTTTTTTGGCATTCAGAAGGCCATTTAGCGGAAATGGACCACAGATCTGTAAAATGGACCA